TTTGGGATTGAGATTCAGTTGCAAAGTAGCTTGTCTGAAATGCTGAGGTATTGCTTTTTAAACATCAGGAAGTTTGAGTATATCTGATTGGGGCAGAAAATTAGGCTGAAAACTCCCATAGAACACATGTTGATTATATTCAGATGCTACAAAAATACAGATTGACCATGTGCCAGGAAGGTGCTGCTTGTGCTAAGGATACTGGTGATCATGCAGTAGCTGGTATTTCTATAAAATGAAGGGAGGAGTGGAAAAGAAGAATGACAGGTCCTGGTGAAACTGCTGGCTGCTGCAGGAGGAGTTTCCTTTTGTGGTATAAAAGGGAGAAAATGGCTTGGAAGGAGATATTTCCTTGCCCCTTTTTGATCCCAAGTCTTGCATCTGAATTTTAATGGGATGTTTAAATACTACACTGTACTGGGGCTCTGAAAAGCCTTGATTAAGTCTACTTTCTCTTCAGGCAGTCGCATAGCATCTGCACCGCCTTGTACCTCTGACATTTTCTTGAAGGTCAGGAAGAGCACTTGCTCTAGACAGTTTCTTTTCTTAGTGTAGGTGACCCCATTAGCTACACAGGGTTTGGCTCCCAGCAGATACAGCATAATGCAGATTTGCTGACATAGCATGGTGCCCTTAACAGACTTACACAGAAGATTGTATAGTTTGGAGTGTAAGTAAGGCCTCTGTAGGCAGAAAGGCTGGAATTACTTGCCATCACCTAACTTCTGGCAGTCCATTCCGCTTTACTTGTTTTGACTTACTGAACATAGTTCTGGTCCCTTGTGGAAATGCCCTACACCAGAGGTGTTCAAACTTCTGGCTTCACAGACCAGATGAGTGGTGTGAGGTCAGTTCATAGGGCAGACGCTGCCTACCGTCCTGAACCATCTGTCCACCATCCCGATCTAGTGCGCAAGACCATGTTATCTAGCTTGTAGAGCTTCCCGTGGGTCAGCTGGATAGTGGCAATTAATGCTGCCACTGCTCCCCTGCCACCAATTTGTGAGGGAGCCCCACAGGTTGGATGATACGGCACTGTGGGCTGGGTCTGACCTGTGGGCTGAGTACCTTGTCCTACACTGTCCACCTTTCCAGTTTTTCCCACTATAGCATATCAGCCAGGATATACACAAGGCAGCATGACAGCAAAGACAGTTGTAGGCCTGGCCCTTGTCATAATAATATATGCTGCAGAAATACTAATGTTACTAACCGGTGATCTTTTGGGGCTAGTGGCAGTTCAGTAGCAGAGGATTGTCCAGACTTTCTAAGGAGATCATTCTATAGCAGTTTCTTCATTCAGATTTAGCTCCTTTCTGCTTCCAGCAGCTACTAATTGTAGCACAAACAATTATATAAAGCTGCCCGACTAAGGAGCAGTTTAGAACAGTGATTCTCAACGAGGGTAATGTGAGATACTTTCAAGGGTGATGCACAATGTTAGCACTGTTAATTGTGCAAACATGATTCACGTGATAAACCAGAAATTTCAAATAGGAATCCCTAGTGTTGAAAACATTCTTGCCTGTTGTGTGGTCTTTGAGTTCTTTGCAATGGAAGAATTTTTCAGTATTATTTTTCCCTTTCTACACTTAGTTCTCAGTTTTCACTCATTTTCTGAGGGGTGCCTTGAGTCCAAAAAGGTTGACTGCCGCCGCTCTAAAATCTCCCTAGTTCTTTAGCTTTCCTTTCTTCCCAGATCATGCAAGCAAAAACAGCAAAGAGACTTGGCTGTACATTTCCACTATATTTTGTTTAGTGCTTTTCCTCAGAATAGCTCACAATAGTTGAGAAATACTTTATACAGATGGGTAGCAAGCTCTTGAAGTGGAGAGGATTACACTGACCGCTGAATGAGAGGCTGCTCCATGCTGAATTGTTTCTATACAAAAAGCGCAATTAAGAACCAGGTCACAGAAGGCCATTACTTGCTGGGACCAGCTCTGCTATGTTTTCACTGGTGCTGGAGGGGAGATAAGCCACTAGAAGGCCATGCTCTATGGGTCCCCAGGAAACAGTGTAAGAGACTCACTTAAGACATAGATATATCTGGTACCTGCTGCACACTTAGGAATGCTGAAGATAAGTTCACTTGGCTGGTGTCACCAATTGCCTGAAGTACAGTACAGGCTATTTTTAAATTAACCTTCTACACTAGGGGCCAGCAGCCTTTTGCTAGCAGCAAGTTGAAGCTTGAGACCTGGCTGCTGCCTCAGCCATCCCTGCTCTGCACAGAGGGCTGCTCTCTCACATGCCCCACTGCAGCCTCCTACTTACCATTGCTGCTGAATTAGCCAGTCCAAATTTGTCGCTTGTCATGTTTTCAACAGCATATTTTTTGACAGAGGCTGCTTAAAGGGTGGGGGAGAGGGTGAGAAAACAGCACCCGCACAGAGCAGGGAATATGCAGCTGCCATCAGGAAAATTCAGATCACAGGCCAAATCAGACAGCTGGGTAACAATAGAAGTTTGGCGCCCTGTTAATTGAATGCAGCCCACATCAAATCTGTTTGCAGATCTTTTCTCAAAAAAGGCCCAAAAGTGAAAACAGGATGTTGAAGATGAAAGGTGCTGTGCACTGACAGAATGGGGAGGGGAGATTTGCACAGTACCTATTCGATTATGCTTGAAACAAGCCAGTGTTGGTGGAAGTCACGGTCACTAAATTTGATATAAATCCCTTGTTGCCAGTGACAAGAAGTCTTGACCAGAGGCTTCAAACAGCAGTGTCTTAGGGCCTGGGTTCTGAAGAATTTCAGATGTTCTCTTCATTCAGTAATTCCATTTTGAAATTGAAAGTGAGTCATGCAAGTCTGATTTGCAGTTCATAGTGGCAGAATTAGAGGATCGTATTGTAGCTAAATAGCATCCGCTTGCTTGTCTGTATCCCTCAGATCAAGGCTGATTCAGCAAAGGTGGAGGCTTTCAGAGCATCACTTTCTAAACTGGGAGATGTTTACATCAATGATGCTTTTGGAACTGCACACCGAGCTCACAGGTATGTAACTACTTAGCCTCTCTAGGCAGGCTTATGTAATTCCTTGTTTTCTGGGTTCACTCCATACTCATGCAAATTAGCTTAGTCCTGGTCTTTTTATGCTAGCAGACTGTCCTCAGAAAAACCCTGCTCAGGATTCTCACAATGAGGACTGATGAGTTCTTCATTAAAATTGACTAGTTTGAAGTTTGTGTATTGCATAAGTCCCACCCTTTAGAAGTTAATGCAGACTGTCAGAAAATGAAGCCTTCTGGACTGTGAATTTGTCTTGTGTATCAAACAATTGCACACCAACTATTTGAACATAGTCTGTAGAGCACTAAGCATAGCCATAAGATGTGCGACTTAGGGAAAAAAAATATCCGGAATAAACCTGGGTATAGCACCTCATGAGTGCAGATATGCCACTTCCAGTTTTGGGAGCAAGTGTGTTTGGAGTAGCAGGGTATGTATGTTTGCCATTGCTTTGCACACTAAGTGTGTGGTTTAGGCGTGCCATGAGTTTTCATACCATCTCTTGATGCTGCTGTTGTTATTGCAATTACACAAAGAGTTAACTTCCCACTGCTGGGAGCATGAAAGACCCTCTGGCTTTAGGAATGTGAGGAATTCTGTTGTTTGGATATAACTGATACAGAACTCTTTTCTTCTCTGCCTATTCCATAGCTCCATGGTTGGTGTCAATCTATCACAGAAAGCTGCTGGCTTCCTGATGAAGAAAGAGCTGGATTATTTTGCTAAGGCTCTGGAGAGTCCAGAGAGGCCCTTCCTGGCAATTCTTGGAGGGTAAGAGCCAAGAATATATATGTGTTTTATGGTTTTTTTGATAAGCTATTAACTCCATTGTCAGAATGAATGAGAGGTTTGGTATGGACAAGAACACTTTTGTCCACAGTTTCTTAATTAGGAGGGGAGGAATCCTGAGCTCCCTGTAATCTGTACCTCACAAAGGAGCTGACTGACTGTATCCACCCCAGTAAAGTTGGCTAGTTCTGTTCAAATTCTCTGCTAGCTCTTCAGCTGCCTCTACCTGAGTTAGTCCACAGCACTGTGTTCTGCCAGTGATCCAGAAGAGCTCTTGGATATAAATAAGAGATGGCCCTGACACAGACTGCTAGTGCCCTTTCCACTGGAGTTCATAGTACAAGCATAGTGCAAGCTCAGCGTGTCTCTGTAAGTTGACACTGTCTGTTCTTATGCAACTGTGACCTACTGTAGTTGGATGCACTTCAGCTCCTTATGGGCAATTAATGAACAAAGCCACATCCAGGGGACATGCATACCTATTGAGTAACTCCTGTGTGCCAGAGTAAGCCTCTTTTCAAATGTGCTTGGGTTCTTTTGCCTCTGAAGAGTGAATTTAGGCGCATTGCAGACATCTAGCCAAGTACAGGAATGTTCAGATGTGGTGTTGGCAATCAGAACAGTGTTTGCACTGGAGCTCCCACTGTTGCTCCCGTTGGAGTTGAACTAGTAATGGTGATGGCAATAATAATACCTGGTGCTTTTTATCTATCTATTGATGTTCTACTAGGGAAATCAATATCACCGTCATTACAGAGAAATGAGGGGTTTTGTCTGAAGTCATCCAGCAGACCAGTAGCAAAGTAGAGAACAAACTGCAGCTGTCCCTGAATCCTAGCCAAATGCTCCATCGAGTAGCCCACTGTTTCCCAGAGCAGCTGCACTCTTCTCTAAAATCCCTAATGTAGACAAGCCTACCGTTAAGAGAGCAGATCTGCAGAGTTTGATATTCAAGAGCAGAAACTGAGAGACTTGTGTTCATGCGTTACTGTGCTCTGAAATTCCAGCATAAGGGTACCTTAGGCACTGCCATACCACTGTCCATTTCTGTCTTGTGCCGCAAACAGGCTCTGCTGCTTTTGGGGAGGGTGATTCTGCATAGTCTCTGACCCTAGAGCAGATCCAGCAGTTAGGAGGAGGCTTTTTCTCCTCTGCTGACTTAATGAACTACTGATCCTGGGCTAACTACAAGAGCTAGGCATCAAGGGGCAGCATGATCCAGTGGACTGGGGTTGGGGCCTCTATTCTAATCTTAGCTCTGCTGTGGTTTTGTTGGGCATCCTAGGACATGTCTCTTTCCCTGTTGGTGTTTGGGAATTGAGGCCTCACCATACCTGTTGAAGTGCCAAGTAAGAGATCAGGATGCTAAATGTTACTCCTTGAAGTTGCTGCTAGTGTCCACTAATCTGGTTACACTGTCTGTGCAGGATGGCACGGTAGTGCCCAGGCCTGAGTGTTGCCATTCTTGAGCGGCTGAAATGGCTCCACATTCAAGCCTTGTAGCTTCCTAGGCAGTACATTTCTTAAACAATATATATGCTGCTAGAAGTAATATATGTTTAGCTACATTGCTCTCTTTCTCTTTCCCTCCTGTAGAGCTAAAGTTAAGGATAAGATTCAGCTAATCAACAACATGCTGGATAAAGTCAATGAGATGATAATTGGTGGTGGAATGGCCTTCACCTTCCTCAAAGTGCTCAACAACATGGAGGTATGAAATGGGAATTCTGTGCCTGCTTTGGGAGGTCAGGGGAGGAGAGGCGTAGAGGGGTTTCTGCATGCACCAGATCATTTGCATTCCCTTTTGGAGGTCAAAACTGAAAATGCATAATCTGACTTGAGTACATGTAATACTGAGCAGTCTCTTTGCAGTCAATTTGTCAACTTAAGAGGCAACCTCTTCCCAAGGCCTAGATGATGTTAGCAAATGAAAAAGGCAATTAAAATGTATGCTTTAGGTATGGGGTGAAGTTCAGCTCTGTGCAGGGGGTCAGCAGTGAGGAATAAGAACCAGATTTGACCCTTCAAAGTGGGACTTCCATAGTGCCTAGGACATGGGCTGACCCTATGACTACTACACATTGCCAGGCTTCAAAACCCAGGTTCATGTTCTTGCTGTTAGAGTGCAGGTGAACTTCTGTAATGGCCAGT